AGATTTATATAATAATTTAATTAAGAAAGTTATAGCTAATTTTAAGTATTTTCTAGTTATATTCTCGGAATTCCTTTAATAAGGTCTTAAAAAACTTAGTTTCCTAATAATTTTCTAGGTTATTAGTATAATACTCTAGTATAACTTTAATTTAATTCTTATAAATAAAGAGATATAATAAATAGTTCTTTCTTTTTTAGTATTATTAGAAATATAATAGTTCTTATATATATTTATATATTATTCTAAGAATATAGAAATATTATTTCCTTAAAACTATAATATTTTAAATACTTTTATAAATAATAAGTTTAAATCCGGTATTAATATATACTTGTTTTTAGCTATATTAATCTTAATAATTTCTTCTATAATTAATTATAAAATTTCTATATCTGAAACTTCTATTAATAAGATTTCTAAAGAACTAATTTTTTATTTAAATATATTTTTTAATTTAAGAATCGAAATTTGAAAAAAAAAAAACTAGTTAATAATAATAAATATAATTTAAATTCAAGTTTTAATATTAGTAATAATAAAATAATAGCTTTTCTAGTTTTATTTCTATTATTTATATTCTTTTTTTTATTAGCTTAATATCTATAATATTTTTCTTTAATTTTACTAAACTAGATATATCTAATAATACTATTAAAGATAATAATAAAAATAATAAATATAATTTTACTAATTTTTCTGACTTTTTTAAATTCTTTTCTTTTTCTAAAAGCTTTTCTAGATTATTTATATAATTTCTTATTTCTAATTTTATTTTAATTCTTATTTCTAATTTCTATTTACTATTTTATTTGAAATTAAAAGTATTTCTTTTTTTAAATATTTTTTCTAAACTTAAAAATAAGCTTTTTTATTAAAACTAATATTATTTCTATTTTAATTTTTATTATAACTAAAAATAATATATATATTAATAATATAACTTTATTTCTAAATATTAAAATCTATTTCTAATTAAGATCTAATTTATATTATTTTAATATAATATTTCTTATTTTATTTTATTTATTTTTTTTCTTTTATAATTAGCTTCTATTTTTATTATTTCTATATATTATACTAGTAATTATATCTTATAACTAATCTGTATTTAAATTACTAGATATATTAGAAATTAATATAAGATATTAAGATTAATATTTATATATTCTTAATATTTTGGCTTTAGGCTTAAGATATTATAATAGCTCTTTTTTTTTCTTCTAAATTTACTAAACTAATAATCCGCCTTATAAATATCTTTTAGAACTTTATAAGAATATTATTTTAATTATAAAGTTTTAATTTTTCCTATATTATTTATTATAAAATATATAAAAAAGAAACTATAATAAAATAAAAACTTATATAAACTATATTAGAATATAAAATGTAATAAAATAATAAAATAATAAAATAATAAAATAATAAGATTAAAAATATAAATAGTAAAGTATAAATAGTATATAATATATAAAAGCTTAATTAATTAAATATTAAAAAGTAATTATTTTCTAGAATTATAGAAAAACTAGCTTATTTATATAATTTCTATAAATTATATATAAAAGACTATAGCTTTTATTATATAACTAAAATCTTAAAACTAATAAAATAATATAATTTTTAGAAAGTATAGCCTATTATATTATATTATATTAAGTCTCAAATTAAGATATACTAGAATTCAGACTTTAGTAAAGGTTCTTTATATTTAATTATAAGCTATATATTATATATTTACTTTTAATAAATTAAATAATATTATTATATTTTATATTTTATAAATAATAAATAAAATAAGAATTATTTATCTTTTAATAAAATCTAGTAATATAAGCTTAAATTTTTTACTTTCTTTATTTAAGCTTTCTTTTAATAATATTACTTGCTTTTATGTAAAATAAATATTAATAAGCTTATAATTCAATATTTTAGAAGATATATTTCTTTAATTTTTATTCTATTATTCTTTTATTTATTATTTTACTAATTAATTACTTTAGATTCTTATATATATATAAGATACCCAAGAAGCTAATTAAATAAAAATATAAGATTTATAGAATTACGAATTATAAATATATATATAATTAAACTTAAAGCTTAAAAGAAAAGAAATTATAAAAAATAGTTTTCTATTTTACTTTTATAACTATTAGTTCTTTTATATAAAATCTAGTACTTTCTTTTCAATATTACTATTTAATAATATATTTTAATAATTACTTTATTTCTATATTCTTATTTTTAGAGCTATAAGTCTATAAATTCGATATTATAAATACTATTTGCTTATATAAGCTATTTTCTTCTAATTTATTAGTAATTAAAAATCGATTTATTAAAAAGCTAAAATAGAATATATTTCTTATTATAATAGTTTAAGATATATTTTATATAGCTTAGTAAAATAATAGTATTATTCTAGCTTTAAATAATATTTATATTATAAATAAGGCAAAGAACTTTTATAAAAAAAAAAGAAGGCATTCTATAAAGATATTTATAAATAGGCGAATTATATAAAATGTTTTTAATAATTTATTAATAAAAGAGCTTCTAATTCCTTATTTTATTAATAATTATAATTAAAATATAAGATATATAAATTTTATAAATTAATTTAGAGAGGTATATAAGACCTATAGAACTATTTTTAGAAATTAGTAGCCCTTGTTTTATTAGCTAATTAATATAACCTATATTAATAAATATAAGCTATATTAATTATATATAAAATAAAGGCATTCTTTTATATATTTATAATTCAGAATCGAGCTTTATTATAAGCTTTTAGAATATTCTAAAAAGGTAAAGCTATAGAGCTTGCAAATAGAATTAGAAAGTAAAAGAGTATTTAATTCTAATCTCTAGTATTTATATTATTAGAAAAAGTATATTATTAAAGATATATATATATATAATATATATATAAATAAAGATACTAAAAGATTCTTGGGAAAGCTATAAAAAAGAGGGCAAACTAGTTAATAGGAAAATATATATTCTATAAGATAAGCTTATATAAAAAGAAGAAATACTAGATATAATTTTATTTCTTTTATATAGATTACTAATAAATTTATATAAAGAATATAGCTAAAAGTCTTATAATTATAAGAGGGTATATTATTTATTAAAGAGATATATTATAAAAGCAGGAATAGTTTAAGAGGAAATACTAGTATATCTTAATTAGTATTATCTAACTTAATCTAGATTTCTTATTCTTTTCCTAGTATTTTCTTATACTTATTACCTCTTTTATAATTAATTATTTTCTTTATATATTCTAGAATTCTCTTTATTTACTTCTGAATCTTTAATTATAAAAGCTTTTTCTAATATTTTAACTAGTTTTTTTTTAATTATTTTTTATTATTTACTATATTTTTCTTTATTATTTATCTCTTTATTCAAAACTAGTAAAGCTTAATTATATTAAGGTCTAGCGAATTAGCTAGCCAAATTAGCTTTATAATTTCCTATAAATTATAAATTATAGCCTAGTAATAATATATATATATCGGGATATTATTCTCTTAAATAATTATATTAGAATAAGCTAGCTTATATTTCTTTATAAAAGGCAAGAGCTTTTTCTCAAGAATTACTCTCTAATATCTATACTAATTAATTCCTTTATAATAAGCCCTTTTTTCTAATATGCTAGTTTTAATATATTATTTTTAATATATTATTTTTATTTTGGTTTTATTTCTTTTACTTTTTTTAAAAGCTTTACTTTTTTTATTACTATCTCAAGCTCTTATTTCTCTCTCTTTCCTGTCTTATTTTTCTTATTCTCCTTATTTATGTATTTCTTTGCCTTTTTCTTCTCTTTTATTATTTTCTTTTCTTAAATATAGTATAGTTTCTTCTTATTATATATAAAATAGCCTCAAAATATAAATTATATAAAGCCCTTCTAATAATAATAAATATAATAATATTTATAAGCCTCTTTACTTATTCTCTATACTTTTATATAACTTCTTTACTTTTCCCAAATTATACTTGTTTTATCTAACTAAATTATATTTTTCTAATTTTTAAATATCTAGTTCTTATAATTCAAATACTATTCTAATCTTTTTAACTTATTCTTATTTATTAAGCCTGGTTTTATAATAGGCTTATAAGGCTTATAGCCCTTATAGCACAGAATTCGGTAAACTATATATATAGAGATTCCTTTATAAACGAGGAAAGAAACGAGATTAGTAATTACTTAAGTAAATAATTAACGAATAGTCGAGTTTTTTGAAATTATATTAATTACTTGCTTTTCTACCTCTCGTATAATCTTCTTTGGTCTACTGGCTTGTAGTGTGTCCTCTATATTTACAAGGAGAATTATAGGGCTTGTTTTGGGAGTATAGCCTCGTTTCTTGGCTCTCTTCTTAATTCGTCTAATTATAGATTTGTTCAAACCAGTTTTGCTTATGATTTCTGTAATTAGACGCTTTAACTAAAGCATTGTAAGCGCTTGCGTGCGTATGGCAGGGTCGTATGGCTTATTTGGGGCCATTGTAAGATTTAATGGAGAGGATAAAGTGGGTAAAAAGAGAGATGATAAAGTAGAAAAAAGGATAATTGGGTAAAAAGGGGATTTGGAATGGCCTAATTAGGAAGGACAGGGGCCCCTGCCACCCCCCTGCCACCCCCTTGCAGTGGCGTACGCCAGTTGCAAGACTTTTGGCCGCATTCTCCGTATGTAAAGGTATATAAATATTATGCTACAGGAGCCAAGCGAGCCCCCCCTGTAGTGCGGGAAGTACACCCTTGCTAGCGTGGACAGTTGATGGCCGATGAAGGGATAAGTTTACTAAAAGTGCCTTGAGGCTTAATATGGGCTTATGCAGCTTGACAGGTACTGAACGCCCCCAAACGCCCATAAATATAGGCGAGTCCACTAATTAGTAGCGAGTAAAGGGGGGATAATTAACCCTAATGCACACCTCTCTATACACACTTTGTTCTGAATTCTAATAAAGATTATAAAGATACTTTGGCCAGGAAACTCACCTAATCTCAATGCAATTGAGAAAGCCTGGTTTTGGATGAAAAAGGAGACTACCAAGCGGGGACCTACTAGTAATAGAAAGAAGCTGAGAGTAAGATGGGAGAAATGCTGGGAAGACCTTCCCCAGAGCAAGATTCAAGAGTGGATTGCAGCAATTCCTGATTATGTAAAGGAGATAAGGGGGGAATAAGTATAAAGAAGGTAGGGACAAGGGCCAAGAGAAAGTGATTATATATTAGATAGTTATTTTTATAAGATAGAATCGAACTGATCAAAAAATAATCGAAATCGGAGGTTTAGCGAGGTAAGCCACATTTCAGGGGACCCTTACAGGGCTTACAGGGAACTAGGACTAGCTACAGGGAGATTAAAGTAAGACCTTACAGGGCATTTAGTGGCCTTCATAAAATAATGCCCTGTATTCCCGATACTTTATGCCGTGATCTTCGTACACATAAATGATTCCCAATCTGACATAAGACTGCAGAGGCGTCAGCATTTGAGCTATCGTTTGGAATCATTTTGGAATTCCCTCAATCTACGAATGCGGCATCGAGCTTCAGCCGCTGGGCCACGGATCAATTAATTCAAATTGCTCGAGGGCGGCAAAAAGTGTATATATATTCCGCCTCGCAAAGTCATTATCAGCCTTTTGTCAGAGGTGACTTTTAATTTCTATTGAGTTTCCAAAAACAACAAATATAGAACTAACAATGAAATTTTATATTTCGTTTCTATTAGGCTGTCAGCTATCAGCTATTCTGGCTCTCCCAGTAGCCAAGTCTTCATTGGGCATCAATCGAGTTCTCTACTTTCTCGACAATGACGCAGCAGGCAATTCTATTGTTTCGGCTCAAATTTCAAACCGAGATGGAACACTGTCTTCTGCAGTTAAAACACCTACAGGCGGGAATGGTCTGCCGCAATTGGCCGCTGTGTCGCAGGACTCTGTGGTTGTTTCCGGCAATGTATAAACCCAATTGACCTTTCGCTTACTGTCGTCTCTATGTTTGACAAGAGATTTCTAACGCCAGGATTACTTTCTAGTATCTGTTCAATATCAATGCCGGAAGCAATACTGTATCATTATTCGGCATAAATCCTTCGAATCCTCTACATCCATATCTTATTGGAGAACCTGCCCCTTCATTGGGTCATATTCCAGTCTCAGTGACTTACTCTCAGGAGTTAAATATGGGTCAGTTATTATACAGTTTATTTCTGCGGTATGATGATCTGACTTGATGCTTTTAGCTTGCGTGGTAAACGGCGGCGATGTTGCAGGAGTGGCCTGCTTCTCAGTCGATTCAAAGAGGGGACTTCGTAACTTGGGCCCTCTACGATCAATCCCACAACCCCCGGGTGCTGCTCCACCACCCGTGGGACCTCTGATCATCACTGGTGATATAACTTTTGATTCCTCCTCCTCCGCACTGTTCACAACTGTTATGAGTGCCAATGGTGGTCCGGGGTCCTTATACGCCTATCCTGTCATCGATCGTCAGGTTAGCCATACTCTAGTCAACAACACTGTCGATGCTCTCACGATACCCTTCAGTCTGAACTTCTTGGGCTCCGATAATAAATTAATCGTCACGAATCCTCACAATGGATCGCCTGGTGCTGCACTTTTGGACATCTCCCCTTCACTACAAATCGTCGACGAAAAGCTCATCACTATCCCGGGACAAGAAGCATCGTGTTGGGTTGCAGAAGCTCTAGAATACGATACGCTCTTTATTATGGACGCAGCAAGGCCGACAATAACCATTGTGGATTCTAGAGATGGCGCGATTAAGGGACAGTTCAGCTTTGAAACACCCGCGGCTGGAGCCATGGATACCAAAGTTGATCGGAACACTCTCTACACTATCACGGATCCTTTCGCCAGTAACCTCACACTTATAGCCTCACCGCAGATTCTTGTGTATGATATCACTTCTGTGATAGAAAATGGAACTCCCAAACAGATTCAAAGTTTTGATATCTTCAGCGAAGTGGGGCAAATTCCAGATTTAATGGGCCTTGCTATATATCCAGCGATTGACTGAGGGTCACGAGTCTTTTCAGCATAATCCTCTTTAATCAGTATCTATTATGACTATCCCTATATCACTTCTCTGCATGTTAAGTTTCTCGCCTGAGGTTGCAACCCTGTGTCGAGGTGCTGGTGGATACGCTTTAGTCAAGAATAATATATTACTCGTGTTGTTCTTCATGCCCAGTTGTCCCCAAGTTTTCATATTTATTAAATCGCAACATCAAGAGATTCAGGTCTAGTCCTTTTCTCGATAATTATAACTTATTAACTTGTAAAAAGGCCTTCTTATATAACTAAACTCTACCCCTGCCTCTAACCAAACTCCAACGTTTCCATACTCACTACGAACACCACGTTAGAAAGTCCGGCTCACTAATCAGAAGGCCACATCTCACCTGTAGACTACATCTAGCAGGCCCTGCGGGCCACCGAGCTTTACTCCTATATAGCGATCAATACGAACTGAGGAACAGAATATCCCTCCCACCACACGATTCCAACCTGCGGAAATTGGCCTACCTTTAGAAACTTTCTATTCCAAATCGCCCTGAATGCCGGAGGAGATGGATGATTTCCCTCAGCCTTTAAGGCTTTGAATTGCGACTTAGGAGGTGCATTTGATCTCTTTCCAAGTTCCAGCACTATCTCCTCTTGCAGGTCTTTCGCACTCTCCTTACTTCTCTCTCCTCTCTCCCCTCTCCCCTCTCTCGTTCGCTAATAAATCGCTTGCTTAAAAAAAGCAGAGTTGAGCAAAAGGCAAGAAGAGCCTCAACTATGCATCTCCTTCCTCGAAGAGTTCTTCAAACGAAAACGCAGTGAGACCTAGACGGCCAGATGTGAAGGACTACGATTCTCCAATAGCACTAGGCAATGCATGGGAGTAGATAAGCTTCTTGCGGACTTGCAAGCACCTCAGACTTCAATTGCATGTGAGGATGGACTTCAGGATGTTGAGGTACTGAGATAACATTGCTGAGAGCTGTAAATGGGAGATAGATCAGCAATGCATACTGCTGTAAATTTATACAAGCGTAACTGAGGAGCCCTAGACACAATAATTGGTAGGTGATGAACCGTTGCAAGTGAGATGCCTTGCAATAGATGAGTATTGACGAACGAGACGTCGTTAAGAATCTCCAACCCCACGAAAGGCACGGACTTTCATTCCGCCGAATCACGGGACCCAGACTCAGAACGTGGGAGAACGTTGGTAATACCAATTATGTTTTCCACCACCTTCCCAAAAGCCCTTCAATTCATCCAGAATACACTCAATCCCCTTAATATCCCCCATGCAGCTCCCTCAGAACCAAGACTCTCCAGCCCAGCAAACTCGTCCTCTCAGTACCTTTTCCAACACTCCCTTAACAGCCCGCCGCTCTGAACCTTCCCGAACGCCGCCATAAAGAACCCCTTGTCGCGATACCCAGCCTCGCCGCTCCGCTCAGAAAAGAAACAAGAGACTCCCCCCCCCTTCCTTTCCTTTCAGTAAGGACATAATCCCCACTGCCCTCGTCTCCATCTCCATCTCCATCTACCTCTCAATCTAGCGGTGTGACACTGCTCCGTTCTCCAGCCAGCACTCCCGTCACGGTGCTTATCTCGCATAGAACCCGTTGAGCCTTGCGTCTCACGGCTCACGGCTCACGCCCTGCAGTGCCACCACCGCCATCAAAGATGTTAGGCGTCCCCGCTGGAGGCGGCGCGAGCAGGAGGAAAAAGGGGCTGATGTACTCCATGGGGAATGTATGTTTTTCTCCCATCATTACATCACTTGATCTGATCCCGTTTGCCCATCCCGTTTTTTGTCTGCCATTTCTTTCGCGCTTGCAAGTGCAGCTTTCCATTGTTGCCGCTCAACACGTGCGAGATGCAGCGTCGCGTATGGCTACGACTGGCTGCGCACGTTTGACGAGCGGTGAAGGGTATGGAGGGTCCGGCAACGCAAGTAGCAGCCCGTGGACCCGACTCGGCGCAATGGCTCTAGATCCAGGAACCCGAGGTTGTACAGAAGTCCCTCAGCTTTGGGCAGGAGGCCACATGAGGCAGTTTCTGCATCGGGTACTGGACCTAGTGAGTGGTCCAATTGGATACCCAAAGCCGGGCAGAAGTACTCGCTCTATGACCTGGTGATGGAATCTCCTGATGGACTATTGTCGAAGAGAGGCATATGATTTGTCCCTTGGTACCTTCGGGTGAGCATTGATGGACCCGAGGCGCTGTCTAGCTGCAGGGTCTGACAAAGGGACTGCTTCGAAGCATGGGGGAGAAGCAGAACCCCCACAGTTAAAGCTGCACCTGATGCTCAGATACTTCTGGGCTTGAAACTCAATTGCGTTGCCTTCGACCTGAAGCTTCAATTCATTGTACTTCTTGCTTTCTATATACTTTTTCGCGAGCAAGACGTTCTGGACTCTCGTCTCTCTGTGCTGCGTTGTCGTTTTTGGAGGGGCAGATCTCCTTGAACCTACTTGAACCTATGTAGACAGAAATGAATAACCTCAGTATTCTCAGACAACATTTCCCCAAATTCGCTTCCAAGCTGGTTAGTTAGCATCGCCGCTCTGCTTAGACGCTCCTCACCTTGGCCCTACCTTGATTGCTTTAGGCAGCTGCCGAATGATGGATTCGAACCAGGTGGCTACTGTCACTGGCGAACGCTTCTCGCAGCTGCTTTTTCAATGCGACGGTTTCCATGGGACCAATTACCATTTCGAGAATTCTTCTATTGACACTAATCTCCTGAGTGAGACGTCAGCTAGTCGGGCAATGATGCGCTGTACCACATTGTCTGATTATGAAATGTGTGCCTCGCATGCAGAGACTTATCAGAGACTCAAAACAAACTCTTAGAAAGTATCATCGCAAACTACTTATATTTTAATGGGCCCAATTAACTAGGCCCCTGGGACTGCAACCCACCCAGGAACGGTCTGAAGTGTTCATGATACGAAGAACGATCTTGACTAAAATACTCCCATTCTTGGGTCTGACCGTTTCGCAAGCTGTGTAATTCACGTGCCCGACGCAGCTTCACGAGGGCCCGGCTCTGAGAGAATTCGTTCATTTAAAACGCCTGGCGGTGTCGAGAGACTCCCTTGTGGGGGATGGGGTAAATGAAGAGCCGCAGCCTTTGCATGAGACGTACCACCAAATTTGGAAGAAGCATGGATCCAATTAGACTATGGAGACGCCTATGATGATAGACAGCAGTCGTTCTTAAAGCAAGGCCTACGGGGAATTGCAATGAACAAAGAACAGTGTTGTCCATCCTTAAAAAATCTTGTGTTGTGGCAAAGGGATGCCCAATATGGTGTTTATCCGGATGAATATCAAGCAGAGGCTGGTAGGATTTTGGACGCACTGTACGTATTATTCTTTAAAACTTCCCTGGGCGCTTGCTGACACGAACAATATACAGCAGCCTAGTTTCCACATTCCAGGAAGTGGGGATTCGATTCGACTTTACTTTCGGCAACCCAACTAAGTTTGGAGCTTCGAATCTGATGAATTAGAAAGAATAGGAGTTGAAAATCCGACTTTTTGCATTCTGCTAAAGCATGCCACTCAGGCCTGAGTCCAAATCTAAATTTAATTCGAGGTTTAATTTGGAATTGGCAAGCCTTGACGCCTCGACCAGTATAAAGATGACTCTCGACTGAGCTGGCTCTCTGGTGACATTCTAGCGCAGCGTAGAGGCGGGTTTTGGGGGCGAGCGGAACAAGATGTCGTGGCCTCGGATCTGGCGCGCCGCGGATGAAGGTCCATAGCCATAGCACCGACACTGTCGTGCAATGGCTCGCGCGAAGGGAGGGCGTGTATGGAATTCGACGTCGAAGCTCCTTGTTCGGCAAGCCGCAAGCGTAGAGCCGTCTCAGGGGAGTCACCAATATCGTGCCACCCATCGGAACTGGAAGGAGGGGCCGGAGTTGTCGAGTCGACGGCATTATCTGGGCTATCAAAAAGACCCGCGCCTCGCCCTGTACTTTCAGCACAAAGATTAACGTCATCGACTTCGGCTTCGGAGGCACTCGAGTTGTCATCTCCCTGCAGGACAATTAGATCTTCTACACAAGGTTAGAAAACCTGGTCGTCTATTTCGACGAGGATAGTGGGCGCTCACGTAGACTCCTGCCTGAGTTATCGCCTGGTGCAAACCCGTTATGGTCGATGGAGCCGCCCCTCTCCTTAGCAGTTGCCTCCTTAACTCCGAGACCTGTCTTGTCCTGTCTTGTCCGGTCCTCCGCTACGAAGCCCTGCTCTTGTAGCTTGGTAAGCAGCAGTTCTTGGATTGTGGGAAGGTCACGATCGTCATTATGTGACTTGGAGGGAGCACATAAGAGAGCTGGCCTTCTCATAGTTCTAGACAAGCAACCTTCTTTCCTGACCATCAATTGATGCTTTTGCAATCGTACACTGCTCCTGTTTTGCCGCGCATTTCTTGCTTTTGGTATTTAGTCTCGTTCTGCTCTCTGGCTTACTTTACGTGGGTTTTGTTCTCGTCGCGGTTTCCCTCCCATAATATTATTGCAGTATTAAGAAGCTTTAATTTACTTAGGAATATTAATTTTATATTAAGTCGAGTTATAACAATTTAAAGTCCTTTATTTTTGGTTATTTTAATAAATACCATGCTTTTATAAATATAAATAGATTAAAGAATATATGAAAGCTACGACTATTACTCAAACCGTTTTCATTTATGCTTATGTGCTATTTGAACATTCAAATTAGACCTGCAGATATTGACGAATCATTTCAAGGCCCATCAAATCTCCTTCCTTTGTCCCCATCAATTCTAAACTAACGAAACCCCACGTACGCTCTCCACTAAAGCCAACGGCCCACAAATTGCCTTCAATATCTAGAAGCATATTCCTCGGGCATACATTGCCCATACCACCGCTATCCCGTGCAGCTGCCCGATGATATTCTTGACTTGACTAGCCCAATCCTCTCGTTGGAGCTTCGACACCCCGTCCATGTTGTCTCTCAAATCACTCAAGTCGGACAATGGCGAGCCTGGAGTTATATAGCCCGTCAGGAAGCCAATCACGGTCCCCGATTGCTGGTTGGTAGTAACGAGACCTTCGAGCCTTGGTACTCGGATTCAATTAGCAAGCCCAGCAACCTGGATCCTCTGTAACATTTGGCAATTGCGGCCAATTGCTGCGTGTTCAAATCCGCGACCTGTTGCCTTACAGAATTGGGTCCGATTATCTGCAAGCACTTTATACGCTCTTCCTGGCACAATTGTTTCCAGGATCTTAATATGCGATACATCAAACGCGGGTAAGTCTCCATGTATGCCTGATATGTCTTGATGCTCAAAGGAAAGCGCGGGTGGGGTGAACTCTTATCGATGAATCAAGGATGCGTTGCCATCTACCGTTATCATCTGAAACCAAAAGCGTTTCGGGTTCAGTGCTTCTCTTAGCGTGGTCGTGGATCCATCTAGGGGATTTGGTCCCGCAAGGTCTTGAAATAATTGGCTGCCTATAGTAAAAATCAAATCCTCGATCTCGTACAATGTTCGCATGCCTGCCGCATCAAGTATCCCATCGTCAGTCACTCCTGCGTTCAACTTTTGAAGATAGACCGACTCAATTGAATCGGGTACGTTGTAGCCTGGTAACGGCCCGGGGCCAGCGGGGTATTTTGATGCAAAGGCGCCAGGATCGAAGCCATACCGGAGAAGTGTAGGCGTCGTCGTCGAGGATTCCGGAAGCAACTCCACCACAAATTGGCAGTTACTATACGCTAGCGTGATCACGCACGGCCTGTTTTTCCCGACTCGCGCGCTGCGAAGCTCTATGTCAAGAGGCGATAGAGGTAGTGCCGGGGCGGCGCCGGTTAGAGAAGAGCGTCCTTGTTGCGACATTGTAAAAAGACTAGAGTAGATTGGTTGTTTGGGAAAAGCAGAACAGATAAAGCAGATTTGTTGAATTGAGTATAAATAAGTTGGAGGATTTGGTTCTTTATATAGAAATCAATCCCTTGCAAGCTATATATCTGTGCGCATTACAATCACATCAAAATAGCGCATATTTGTCTTTAATATGCAGATATATGCAACTTTGCGTATATTAGGCCAAGGCTTCCAGTTAACATTGCGTACGTACGATTTAATTATCGAATCTGGTTTCCAGCTGACGTTCTCACATACCACCAACACGCCTGCATACGCCCGCATGCCACTAACACCTGCATCGGCATCGCATACCAGCAACACCCGCAACACCCACATGGCCCTCGCCTCCCAGCAATACCTACTGTATTTGGCCCCCTGGACCCCGCATACCACTATCATCTGCACAACCTTCCCGTGCCACTAATTGCGAGCTTTGCCGTACGTGGTCATTGTGGCAACGGTTTCTACTTACTGACCGTTTAATTTCGGACCAGATGTTGGACCAAAGCTGGGGTCATATGTGCCCGATATTCCTGCGGTTGCTCTCCAAGGGCAAGTTCCACAACGTTGGTCCTAACGTTGGGCATAACGCCGATGGAGGTATCCTTTCACAGTGCCATATGGTCAAACACAGGATGGGTTCGCTTTGGCAATTCAGGCCATCTTCTCAACTGCAAATAATTCGACGGTTTCGTACATCACAGATGACTCTACCCACCCATTTTCAACGGGAGTTATCGGTACGCGTCTGAGATTGAACGCACCTGGATTGCGATCTCAGACTTCTTAGTTGGGTGCAATGCTAATATCCTAGCTTCCAAATTGAAGCCAGGCTATGCATACCTATTTTCTGTGCCTCCGGCAATGCACGGAGGGGATGTTCCAAACACATTCTTCAATGTGGTTAACCTCCACAATTGACGAGGGACTTCCATTCAATGGGACAGTGGCTAAGGTACTCCAGTGATACTTAACCAACTTTGCTATGACAGGGAAACCCACTGCAGAAGGGTGCCAGGACTTTCTGACGTATGGACAGAATGCTACATTGAGGACTATCGATCTCACGGGTCTTGGGACCCGAATGAGAGACTCTGTGGGGCGGTGCCGCAATGCAAATTCTGGGAAGAGGGCCCGTACTATACGTAGGAGAAAGCTTGTCCTCCACAATAGAACGACTTTGAAGAAGCCAATGAATTGATATTGAAACTGCAAACGATGATTTTTGAAATGCAACTGATTGAAAGCGCCTCCGACGCCGCTTGGGATATTGCAAAAAAGGAAGTAGGTTGAAGCTTGTAGAGACGCAGGATGTTGTGACTGCAAACAATGAAGCTGAGACTCGTTTGATTTTGATCATCGTCCACTCTGGTCCTCTTGTTCTCTCGTAAATCCCTCGTCTTCCTCGTCCTCGGCGTCATCTTCCTCGTCGTCATCCTCTTCGCTCTCGCCATCAAGGCCCTGCATCTGTGGTTCTTCAAAATCCCTGTATAATTCACGATACTCAGCCAAGTAACCCTGCAGCTTCCAAAGTTGCATCTCCAAATCTACAACATACTGTTTCTGCCTAAGCACCACGACCTCTCTCTCAAAGATGCTACTAGGAAGTTTCTCCCGTAACTCAGCAAGCTTATCCTTCCCGAGCAATCTTCGTAAATTATGCACCGGTACCTTTCTGGTTTTGCTCTCCTCTTTTCTACCGGTAGGAACGTCCAAAGTTGCAAATTCGGGAGGAATCTCTCGGCCTTCATCCAACTCCCCGTCCCCACCAGTCCAAAGGAATGCTCCAACCTGTGGTTTGGCCAGCGCGTCCTCCCACCCTGAACACCCTACGACATAACCCCTCTTTGAGTTTGTCACGCGCACAAAGTCTTCCAATATTCTTCGCCGCATGAGATTCAGCACGAACTCATGCATGTCGCTTCTCCAGCGTGCGGTACTGAGAAATTTTCCTGCATCCCTGGAATGTCTATATCGGTCTGGTATGAAGCGTGTAGGTGGGCCATCAGAGGGCATTATCATACCCCGCCTTCTCGCGAGGCCTTTCATCCTTTTGGTCTGTTTTCTTCCATATCCCCTCGGGTCTTGCATTGCGCGAATAGTGTGCTGAGAGGCGATGGTGTACACAGAGTAACCTAGAACAGCAGTGGACTCTGCACTAATCTGTTGGGTTTGACTTGTGTGTACTTTTTCCTCCTTCGGTTCCAAGTCGGCATCTATCTCTTTCTCTGAAACTGTTGGTCCCTTATATTTCGCCAAGCTCTTCGGAACATACCACGGGCTCCCCGTCTCCGGATGCTCCATCAAGTTGAAATCTTGGAGGAAGAACGAAGGCAAGGCATTGTATGTCAATGCACATCTGCGGAGCGGCGTGGCCAGAGCTCGAGCATAAGGATTCTTACCAAGGATTTGCTGGAGGAGTTCGGGATTCTTGCTGGGTCGCGCCTTTCGTTCAACATATTTCTCTTTTGCTGCGATGACATCTGGGTCCATCAATGGTGATACAGGGAGCGGCGGGCGCTGGTGAATAATTGGTGGAGATGTATTCTCGACCGCCGCGGCGGCTGCTGGTTCACCATGGGGCGCTGCAGGGAGAAGATTGTATGTAGTTGTTTGAGTGTCTTCGGGGAAAGGTTCGTGTGGCGCTATCGGGGGATGGTGATTCTGCTCTTCTGTAACAGGTGCAGGCGGCGGGGACGCAGCATACCGAAGGGTGTGCGGTCGGAGAATGGCTGCAGGTTTCCATCTTGAGAGGAGGCTGAGAATCCTGGCGCTGTCGACATCTTGAGAGGGGGATTGGGTTGCAGATGTAGAAGTTGAGTAGAGTCGATTGGTAGCTGCGAGCCACCTCGAGGTGGTGCTACCGGTTGGGGTTATGCACTTGTTCATAACACATGCCTCAGACCTGGTCGGGTGTACACAGGAGAGGATGGTTTCGTTGATGGTAGTGTTTGAAGAAAGACTGCATGTCGCCTCGGATAAAAGATCAAGCGAGTTCGCGCTTCCTCAATCGCGTCTTCCGAGCGCCAAGGTCAAGCAGACCTTCCATCATGACTCGGTCATAACACCAATTGACGACAACTCGATATGTTTGCGACTAGGGTTCTACGGGCGCCAGCTCGAGATGCCCTCAGAACTGGCTTGCGATGCTTCTCCTCCATACCCGCGCAATCGGATCCGCCCAAAGCCTGGACACCAATTCCGTATATCACAGAAACCATTGTATGCCTCCATTCCCTACCCGACGAATCTCCTGTTGACCGACCAGGGAGGAGGCTGGAGAACCTCTGATATCTTCTCCAAGCTCCTCCAAGAACGAATCATCTGCCTCAATGGCGAGGTGAACGAAACCCTGTCTGCTGCAATCGTCGCACAGCTTCTCTACCTCGAATCAGACGCTCCCGAGAAAGCAATTACATTATACATCAATTCCCCTGGTGGGTCGGTCACTGCTGGGCTAGCTATCTATGACACGATGACATATATCCGGTCTCCGGTGTCCACTGTCTGCGTGGGCCAAGCAGCTTCGATGGGATCACTATTATTGTGCGGAGGAGAGAAGGGAAAGAGATTCTGCCTGCCGCATAGCAGTGTTATGGTTCATCAACCGAGTGGAGGGTACTTTGGGCAGGCCAGTGATATTGCGATCCACGCACAGGAGATACTGAGGGTCCGGAAGAAATTGAACGAGATTTTCAGACGGCATTTGACGAAAGAGCATACCCTCGAGGATATCGAGAGATTGATGGAACGAGACAAGTTTCTAAGTGCCGAGGAAGCGCTGGAGATGGGGATAGTGGATGAGATACTAGACCGGAGGATCAAGGACGAGGAGAGGAAGGAAGATAGTTCAACATGATTAAAATTTGGTCGAAATCGTCAATCGGGGGATATATGATAAGGCGTACAAAACTATAATTTTCCCAAGGTAATCCCAACTCCAAATCCATCATCCAATTCAAAGCTTTGCCTTCACCTCCTCAGGTCCACTTCGGGCCAATATCCAATCTCCAACATCCTTAGCGAAGACCGACCGATTGTCCGGCAGATCGCAATGCAGCATGTGGGACCATCCCTCATAGGTCTTGAATGTCTTGTCCTCCAGCTGGGTCTGCCTCTCGAACCACTTTTTGCTTGCTGGATAACTTGTGCCTTTGTCATCGGTTCCATGCCCAAGCCAGAGGCTCTTCACTCCCTTATTCAGGGTGGCCTTGCCTTGGCTCAGCGCCTCCGCCCTGTCCAGCATCCCAGCAAGGCCTCCAAATGTCCCGATATCATGCAAAAGCTTGTCTGCCTTGATTGACTTGACAACTTCCGGATCTCTTGTCAAGTCCTCCGGGGACAGAGCTGACAATCGTTGTTTATGCGGCATTACTCTACCGATGATGCGCCCAAAGAATACGACAACTGGACTTGGTTCGTAGCCCTTCGGAAAAGCAATAAACGGACTCTCCAAAACCCACCCTCTGATATCCTTCATCAAGTCTGTGTATTGTGGATCCGAAGCCAGCGTCAAAGCTTCCCCGCCTCCCATCGAATGGCCCAAGACAAAGAGAGGTACGGATGAAGGCAATTGTGACTTGATCACCGAGACGATGTCAGAGGTGACGAGAGATGTTGGCCCGGTAAGGCCTTTTTCGGAGTCTTTGTGTACAGAGCGTCCCCAACCACGCTGGTCGAAGCCAAACACTTCGATGCCGCGTGCAGCAAGGGAGGGAAAGAGTTCGTAGTATCGATTGCAGTGGTCGCTGAAGCCGTGGATGAAGACGACCTTGGCAATTGGTTCTCCGTCAGGCTGACAACTTTATTAGCGGAGCTTACAGGGCAGGAGGTGGGCTCCTAACCTTCCATGTCTTCGTGTACAGGGACATGTCCCCAATTTGGTGGGTTCCTTCGACTTCGGTGGGCATTTTAACGTTGGTCTATCCGTCAGTTGAGATATCCAGCAGTGTCCGGAGAGGAGAATAGAGGAATGAGAGCAACGAGGTTGAGGGTCTGGAGCACGGGAGACTGACTGACTTTCTCGGCCGACCCTTGCTTCCCAACCCCAGTTGATGCATATGGAAGCGGCCGCTAGCTTGGAAGGTAATTTTCCCATGTGAATTTCCGAGCTCGACCCGGATCAACAAAATCCAAATGTCAACCTATCGACCACTTTCATCAAGGACTCTACGAAACAGTCTTGGAGTTGGCAGCTCAGCATGTTCAACATGCAGTCGTCGATTATACTCCAAAAGGGAGATCAAAGGTAGGTTCTGCGCCAAGTTTCACTAATTCTTTATCTAATATCCTGTGGAAAATGACATTGTTCTGTTGAAGAACATCCACAATTCGACCTCTACTCCAGTCCTGAGCAATCGCCTACGTGCCGGAAAGAAGATAGAGCTTGTCAGGGATTCCATCTCCCACGATGACATTCTCGGCAAAGGACTCCGTGACTTGGTATCGTCGAAGAAGCGGATCAACTATCGAATATCAGAACCAACATTGGCCGAATACACGGATCTCTCTCCGCGACTAGTAACGCCAGTCAGTCACCCAAAAATATAGTCGCAGATATATTTCTCTGACCACATCGCAGTAGATTTACTCCCAAGATGCGAATTTGATCGTCTCCCTACTCGACCTTAATCCTGCCGTCCCAGACCCGAGCACCTCGATACTTGATCGATTCGAGATATTTGAAGCCGGCACCGGTCACGGAGCATTGACGTTGAACCTTGCAAGAGCCATACATGGCGCGAATACAGCTGCGCCAAATATTCCAGAGGAGGATGAGACAGCAGAGATATCCCCCGACAGGGTGGAAGCAAGAGAGGCGTACAAAGAGTGGCGAACAAATCGAAGAGCAGTGATCCATACACTCGATTGTTCCAGCCGACACTCTGCACACGCCAAAACAGTTGTGAAGAACTTCCGCCATGGGATGTATTATCCACACATTGACTTCCATGTTGGGAGTATCGATGACTACCTCACACCACGTTTGGTAGAATCTAGTGGCGCCCCATTCCTAGAGTATACGATCCTTGATCTGCCAGATATAACCCACTTTTTCGACATTGTTGGCAAAGCTTTGAAACCGAATGGTACCTTGATTACGTTCTATCCAAGCATAACGCAAATTAATACCGGTATCACCTTTGCGAGGCAAAGACACTTACCTTTGTTCCTGGAAAAGGTGGTGGAAGTCGGAGGTGCTGTTGGAGTGGGTGGAAGGGAATGGGATGTCCGACCTGTGAAGCCAAGAGCCTTGTTGGAAGCCAAAGTTGAAGGTACGAAGCAGTCTAGATATCTCGAAGAAGGCCGAGATATCCTAGGAGGTCCCGTGGAAGATTTGGGAGAACTTCTAGCAAAAACCTTAGTTAGTAAGAATCCAGTCTCTGATGACAATGGGTGGGAAATGGTCTGTCGGCCAAAGGTTGGGATCAGAATTTCCGGCGGAGGCTTCGTGGGTGTATGGAGGAGAATGTCAGGTACCAGTATATGATTAGCATGTCTAAAATGTATTTGTAACTGTACAACATTACATCTTGCCCATAGAAATGATTTCAAATGCCGCGCCTCGCCGGCAAGAACAGGGGCGCTGATCACGAGGCGAAATCGTCGCTTGTATTCCCACAGGGGCGGATCTAGTTCTAGCCTCCGCTAAGGTTAGCGCGAGATCCCCAGATTTCCCACGTCAAGAGCTTGAGATTGCAACTGCAACCATAAAAGGAAAAGGAGTCAACACCCTCCAGCTTCCCAGTCCTCCGCCGCATTCGAGAGCGCAAACAATCCGAAACATGCCCGCCTAACGCAGCTACGGATGGAACAACCATATCAACGAGCATCATTTAGCTGCAGTGCAGTTGCTTCCACTTCTTCAAGTGCTTGCAGCGAATCGTCACGATGACGAGGAGAATCGTATGCCCTGCCTTCGGTCTGGCCTGAAGATGGATACTAATATGCAATCGCCAGGTTCGTACGATGTGTCAAGTGGCAGCTTTTGCCTTCTTCTCCCTCGTCGTTGTCTACTTCATCGACAACCGCTATCGAGTTCTACCTTCAGCGCTGCACAACGCGTTACCCGCGCACCACCCAGGCCTCATAGTGACAGATATAACAATCAAATCCTGCTCGAGCCTAAGTATATTCAGTACGTGTAAGCTCGATGCGGATGTCTGGCATCGGATCGAGAAGGACCTATACTTGGGGAGCGGCTGGGTGAACAGCGCATACGTGCATGTCAAGCGCAAGAAGGAAGAAGACATATTGCCCGATGACCAAGTGATCTTGGATGTTACGGTTGGGCGACTGGATCCTGCGCAGGGCGTGAAGGGGGAGGCAAACGAGAAATGGGAGGGCAGACCTAATGGAATATGGTTGAAACAGGCCGCGAAACGGCATGCGAAGGGCTCAAACCAAATCATCACCTCCGTGGACGTGCTATTTGGTGCAGATGCGGTGGATCCAAGGGATGGCTGGCAGATGGCGGGAACGCCGCTACTCCTTGAAAACAGTGGAGAGGGGCAAGAGGCCAGACTAAGCATAAGGCGCGGGAAGAAGGCGCCCCATTCGAGACCAATACCAAAGGTCAATGAGAATGGGAGATTTAAGATCATGCAAGCGGCAGACTTGCATTTAAGTACTGGGACGGGACTTTGCAGAGATGAGATGCCGCCAACACCCAAGGGAGAGAAGTGCGAAGCTGACCCAAGGACGTTGGAGTTCGTGGGTCGACTTCTCGACCAGGAGAAACCAGACTTGGTTATCTTAAGTGGGGACCAAATCAATGGGGATACCGCTCCCGACGCGCAGACTGTAAGCTGGGTTCAATCTTCTCCGACATCTACTAACTTCACAGGCGATCTTCAAATATGCAGAACTGTTCATTGCACGCAAAATCCCCTTTGCCACGATCTTTGGGAATCATGACGACGAAGGGAAATCATCCCTCCCTCGCGCAGGACAAATGTCCCTCATCGAGTCCCTCCCGTACTCTCTGTCGGTCGCAGGGCCGGAAGAAATCGAGGGAGTTGGAAACTACTACGTCGAAGTTCTCGCTCGTGGAAGCTCCAAACATTCAGCTCTTACTGTATACCTACTCGATACGCACGCATACTCCCCTGACGAACACAACTTCAAGGGTTACGATTGGATAAAGAAGAATCAAATAGAATGGTTCAAGAATACCGCGCAAGGATTGAAGAAAGAGCATGCAGGGTATACAGGCATACACATGGATCTTTCATTCATCCATATTCCACTACCCGAATATCGGGACGACAAACTTCCCAAGAAGGGGGAATGGAGAGAGGGCGTCACGGCACCCGTCTTCAACACTGGATTCCGGGATGCATTAGTTGATGAAGGAGTGTTGATGGTTAGCTGCGGCCACGATCACGCCAATGAATATTGCGCATTGAGCAGCCACGATGACGGCAAGCCAGCTCTTTGGATGTGTTATGCGGGTGGTGCCGGATTTGGTGGATATGGTGGGTATGGAGGATACCACAGGAGGATACGATTCTTCGATATCGATGTGAACGAGGCGAGGATAACGACGTATAAGCGAGTCGAGTACGGGGACCTCGAAAAAAGGATCGACGAACAGATAATTGTCGATGGTGGCAGACCAGCCAGGCTTCAGGAGGAGTAAATATCAAGTTAGATTCTGGCCGGGCAGACAACGAGAGGGTGCATATTACCCCGGTTGGGAGCAGCGTTCGGAGCCTGGCACGGCGTAGGATGACGGGATGACTTTGCTTCATCACTTGTATCTTGCGAAGTAGTGGTCTGTACAGTCATAATGCCACTCTTTCATCCAAAGCTCAAGTGAAGCAGTCACTTTGCCACCTTCCCTCTCAGTCCGTCATAAGAATAACTTAATGGAGTGTGGTTGATTTCGCACAGATGCGATTGGCTTCGCTAAGATTGATTTGAGTTCTTCACGACTTCGTTCCAGTTTCAAACTGTCCACTCGCGTCGATCTCCCGTAACAAGTCCCTCGAAACGTGCCGTGCAACAATCAATTAATCCAATTGCAATATATCAATAAATCAACCATTTCTCTCATTGTGGGACTAGTGCTCAAGTCGTGGAGTTCCGATTGGACTCGATTCCAACTAGTCTTCGAAGGCCGAGCATCGCCACAATTTCACGCTTCATCTGATGTCCCGAGACTTCACAACGTCAATTTGCACCGAGGCATGATGTAGGTCCCCTCCGTTCAAGAATCCGAGCCCGAGGCTTTTGATAAAAGAGACTCGGGATATAAAGCACGTGGCCTCGAAGCTTGTTTTTGACACGATCCCCCCTTTTCGTTTTTTACCTTCTTCCCCGCATTTTACTCGCAGGGCGAGGAATCTTAATAATGAGAAGCTTCATACTACTCAGCTTCGGGCTGAGCCTATCTGCACTCTGTATCGCTTCGCCGGCCGCCAATGACAAATACTCGCTTCAGAGCAGAGCTGGCAACTCATTGGCAGCGAATACAACATGTGCCTCCGGCGTCCATATGATCGTTGCCCGGGCAAGCACCGAAGCACCTGGTGAGGGAATCATTGGAGCAGTAGCTACACACGTCCAGCAGTCTGTTCCCGGGTCAGACGCCGAGGCTGTTGATTACCCTGCTACGCTCACCGATTATCTCAATTCTGAGGCGTCGGGGGTTGCCGCCATGACGAAGCTGATCCAGTCATATGTTGCAAGGTGCCCAAACTCGAAGATTGCTTTGTTGGGATACTCACAGGTATTTTGTTATGCGATAGGTGAGGGTTACGTGCTGATGCGCGGTCAGGGTGCTCAAGTAGTAGGCGATGTCCTTTGCGGCACTGGTGAAAAGTTCTTCAACAGGACATCAGCCCTCTCAGGCTCGCTCTCAAAAAACAGTATCTATATCTTTCGTTTCCTCTTTCCCTAGCTAACTCGCCCCCAGTCGTTGCCGTAGTGCAAATGGGCGATCCGTCCCATGTCCCCGGTCTCCCGCAAGATGTGGGAAATAGCACCAAAGCTGGTATATTTCCACGCAACAACACTGCCTCTTGTGCGAGCATGGCGAGCATGACGCAGTCGTACTGCAATGCCAACGATACGTTTTGTGACAGTGGGAGCAGTATACCGGTTCATCTCAGCTACGTGAAGGTGTATGGGACCCAGGCGGCAAAGTTCATCGTTGATAAGGTTGGGACGAGTAATGGGACCAGCACCGGGACAACGAACGGGAATGCAACGCCGACTGGGACACCAAAAGCTAATGAAGGTGGTGCAACGAGGTGAGTCGATGATGTTGATGTTTGAAGGACTGTTGACTAATCTTGTTGGCTTGTTAGGTCCAATGTCTATTCCTTCGTTTGTTCTGCGGCAACCATTGCGCTATTTCCCCTTTTGATATAATATATATATTAGGCTTCTATCACCTAGCTCTATCAACAGTATTGAAGAGACCGGGGAAACCTATTTAAAGGACCGCGGGGAAAGAACTTCGTAACCGTCTTCAACAACTTGATCCTCCCTCCTCACCCCTCCAACCCAATATCCTCCTCAACTAGATAGCGCATCATCTTCATTTCTTCCCAACCTTACTGGGCCCTTCCTCTTTAATCTATTCCACATCATCAAGAATTTTTCACTTCTTAGAAGTGATCTTCCTCGGTCGGTATGCAGCATGAAACTCTTGCAATATGATCCTAGGTGTCGACTTCGGCGCTGCTGAACTGGGAACTTGCGGCTGAGATAGCCTGTTTTTGGTTTTGTGGCTAAGATTGATGGCCGGGTGGTGCGACTGAGTCTGTGTTCAGGGACTCGAGGGAAGAGCGGGGTCCGTGATGATATGGCCGAGGTGGATGACTGTATTAGTGCGCGGCCGGGATGCGAAGTATTTGTCTATTTGTACCATGGCCCAGATGTCGAACGATTGAGCAGTCAGTTCCCTCGAACGAAAATTGGGGGTGAGGCCCACAAGCTTCATCTTTCCGAAAGGGCTGCACGTTGTGTGAGGCTGAGAGGCTCAAATGCGGGGGGGGACCATCTGAGATGCTGGATGTATCCGCATTCATATTCGTGCAGGAATCTCAGTAGCAGCATCACGGGAAACTCATAAACACAGCCTATGAGGGCTTGTGGTGGGCGTTCGATGGTGGGCCGCATTTCAGCCCTTGGGGCTAGTTTCAGCCTCTCCCAAAAGCATAACGAGTAAGAACCTGATGTGCCACCGCGCTTCCCGCTTCCCGCTTGCATAATTCGCCTTACAAATCTGTGCCGCACCCTACGAAAAAGTTAAGCACTAATTTTTCAATACCTATAGCCTATAATTTAGCGACCGTGGCCCTACAATTTAGCAACAAGAAGCCTATAATTATGAGTCTTCCTTTTCCTCGCAGCCTTCAACGCTCAAAATTCGCTTTCCGCTTCTCGCTTTCCACTTTTTACTTTCACTCGCCCATTCCCCCCCCCCCCCCCTTCCCTCTCTACTCCTCTACTACGATTCAAGAATCCTTTTTAACACTCTTTAAGTCTATTATAATAATTAGTAGTAAGGAGACCTGAATTAGGTAGAGTAAGGTTATGAATATAAGTAGAAGAGCGGACGATTTTTGGCGAGGTGAATTATGTAAGCGGAAGCGCGTCGGCACAATCACGTTCTTACGGCTTTCCGTAAGCCTCCCTGGCGGACTAGTGCGTACACCCAAACATATTAGGCGCTGCTGCTCTCTGTCGCGAGCAACTTCATTTTTTTTGGATCTCAGCACTCACAAAGCTCCACAGCCTTACCCTCAATGAACCATGACTGCAACGACTCCTGAGAACGTCCTTCAAGAAACAGTTAAAGAATATCAGTACTTTCAGCCCGAGCTCATCCAAATCATCGCCAGTGAAAATATCTACGATGAAGACCGGCAGCAGCCTTGGGAAATCGACGAGTAACAAGTCTAACCCTAATTTTATGATACATTCTAATCATTCGATAAAGCCGAGACAAACCATACATTAAACACGTCAAAGCATTGTCCTCGTCGTGGCGTCACCTCCAATTACTGGCCGATTTCATGCAAGTCGGCACCACACCTCTGCGGTGGAAGGATTTGCAAACCGGAAAATGGTCCAAAGACAAACCCTTCAATCGACAGGAACGGATCTCAAGAACAAAAGTTACCCGACTGGATTATCATGAAGGATCTAACAAACCAAGACGAAAAGACATCACATCGTCCGCGAAATTGAGAGAAGCTCTCGAGGAGCAAGCGCTAGAAAATGGTCCGGGCAGAGAAAATTCAGACTGTTAGTTGTCGAGGACCTCTCGAGCGACGTGATTGAGCTGCTAGGTGCTCATTACGATGTTGAACCGGCTTTTTTCCGAGACCAGATTGTTGATTACGCCTGGTACAATACACGTGATCGCTGGATGGATCCCCCGAGACTGGATGTCGCTGCGAGGCGGCAGCGGTGGCTTCAGATTCGTTTCCCAAGTTCAAGATATTTTGAAAACCAACTTCGTTTCAAAGAAGGCTGCGACCAGTTTGAGTCATTCAACGTTTACAGAAGACTTGAAGACGATATCAACAACACCGGCGTTTGGGATGCGGAGAAAGCAATTGTTGGGCTGTCGAGAACCAGAGCAGCATTTTGGATAGCCAAAGAGGAAACCCATATCGAGGGGGCTGTTGGTACGTGTGAAGGTGACTTCAGATTTCCGGTGCTGACTGAGGTCCAGGTATTTTATTAGTTGATCCAATAGCAAAGACCGGATTTCCTCTATGGCATGGCTACCGCAACTGGGAAGACACCCCCAGCATGAAAGACCTGGAAAAACTGGAAGGAAAGATGCCGCCGCCCGGTCCAACACGCAAGTCATTCTTTGGTGATCTGATATACTGGCTTGAGAAGCCAGAGGCTTTCGGACCATCTCTCCCCACTTACCCCGGAGCTGACATGCACATCCCAATCCAAGCCCTTCTCTTCTTGATATGTGGGGAATGGCTCACAATTGCGGAATACATCCAAACACGCCTCGCCCAGGTGGAGTGGGAGATCTCTTTCCCTGAACACTTTCTCAACACCGGAGAGACAATTGATGTTGCCCTGAAGAAGTTACATATTTGGAGGAGACTTGTTCCTCTCTATCATCGCATGCTTACAGAGACTCTTCAGCGCGTTTTCAGTTTTCCTTGCCATACAGGTGCAGCATCCACCGTTGACAGCTTGAGGAGTCTACAAGATTCAAATTCATACGCTGCAGATCGCAAGGCTGCTTCTAGCCAGTGCCAATGTCCCCTCCATCAACAAACACCCAGTCAGTCAGGATCCATCACCGCCCTGCGCGAAGACTTCGTCCGACTCCGCATATCCATGGAGGAATTTGAGAAGCGCATAGATCGCCTTACTTCGGTCGTCACAGCCAGCATCTCCATAGACGACTCACATCGTGGATTGAAAGACACGACGAACGTCACGAGATTGACATGGCTAGCGACGTGCTTCATCCCTCTGAGCTTAACAGCAACTGTCTTTTCTATGCAGCAATACATTGCCAATATTCGGTATATCATTGGGTGGTACTTCTTGACTTCCTTGCTGCTAGTGTTTGTGACCATTGGGGGTGCGTTTGCTTTGACTGGATCTGTGGCGGACATCTTTCGGGTTTCGAAAAACAAGAAGGGCAAAGATTCGTGAAATGTACTATACGAAGGTCGCACTCAGAGTAATTGAGGAATCAATTTTACATTAATATCTAGCCCGTGCAATTCTATCGTTTTCTATGATGGCATGAATCAATGACCGTGTTGTTGTGTATTCATGGCAGAGACAAGAACAAAGCCAACATCTTGGGATAGTTTGGTGTGCCCAACCCAGTTGCTGGATCCCACCTATATCACCGTTAGCAACGAAACAAGTTTGCTTGGACACGAAGAAGACTCACCCCTTGACAGCATGGAATCCTTGAGTACCACATCCAAGATTAGTGCCCAAAGTAATATCGTTCAAGACTTCGTCGTTCCGGTACAATGTTGGGTTCACAAAACCAACAGGGCCTTTGCCAATAGCAGCTCGTTCCTCATTGAGCTGGAGGCGAAAGTTAGTGAAAGATGATGATGGAATTCAGAACCTGGCGCAGCTTACCAAAGTCAAAACGGAAGCAAACAGAGGCGACGCCAAACTTGAGCCATAAAAATGGTACAGAGTGCTGTCAAGGTAGGACGGGAAGTGCGCTCCGTTGGCAGAAACATCCGGATAGGCTCTGCCGATTCTATTGTAGATACCAGTCGTCGTGTTGACATTCACATTCAACTCAGAGTAATATGGATAGGTTAAGTGCGCGCGATGGAAGTAAGTTTCGACGTGGCCATCTTGATACGTTGGGCGAGGGAAGTAGTTGGAAAAGCCGCCAGCCGAGGAGAAATTGACAGCTGTGCCACCCAAGTTATCCTGCATGACAGTCTCGGGATCGTAAACACTTCCGTTCGCCTGAAGTTGGCTTCCGCCGACTGAGGTCACGTACGGGCATCCAGAGGGGTATTGAGGGTTGAAGATGAGGCCTTCGGCGCCAAGGCAACCAGTTGTGCCCGGAGTGTTGATATCTCCCGGAAAGGAAGCCACGCCGTAATCTCCAGATGCGAAGAGAATGGAGTGTCCTTGAAGGCCGAGTTTCATAAACTCATTGCATTGGCGGAGCACGTATGGGGCTGGAAGATCGGCTTCTGCTTGGCCATAGGATGCTGAAATGACCTTTGTAGGAGTGTAGACACCACATTGAAGCTGGCCCATGTATCCTCCGGGAACGTTGTGTGGGTAGACTGCATCGTAGGTTGGGTCGTTTCCGGTCTCACCGTTTGAGGTGTAGGTGCAGTATGATCCATCGAGGGCGTCGAGGAAGGTGTTGAAGACATTAGTGGTTGCTACTTCTTTAGGTTCGTATATATCATCGTCTGTCTGGTAAAGAGTAACCGTCTGCGGATAGATGAGAGAAGTTCTGAAGAATACGTCAGTGAGTTCATAGTGAAGTACTACAGTCTACTCACGCCATCTCGATATCAATATTCGCCTCGCCAGAATTGAGAACACTTGAAGCAGGAACGGAATATGAAGCTCCATCAATGGTTGCATTGATGGGGAAAGTTCCTTGAGGAACGTAAGTGGCATATTTCGCGAAATATGCATCGACATCGGATTCGGCAAAGTAACTCCCTTGTTGGTACAATCCAAGAGAGTTGTCTCCGGTTGCCTTGGTCGCATCTGGAATGCTGTATAAAGCCTTGATACAAGTCGGTGTCATTTGCGTGCTGCAGTTGGCAAGTGAAGATGGAACTGGCGTGGCATCCTCGACCTGGACGCGGAGGGGCGACTTTACTGCCCATGGTGATCCACGTTTGGTGTAAACTGTCCGCTTCACCACCGGAGTGAGCTTGACGCCAGGAGTGATGTAGTCGATGTGAGGGGTAAGATGCTCCGGAAGGTGATACCTGTTCTGGTCAGAAAAAGGCGAATTGCGTAGGAGGCATCGCGTACTTATCACACCCAACTCGAGTCTTCGGGCTACTTTGATGCTCGTGTTCATAGAACTCTGTTTGAAACAGTTCTTCCGCTTCCTCTACAGTGACATCGACGGCGACCCATCCTTTGTTCTCGGAATGGACAATTCGAGCTCCGTGGATGCCAAAGTCGGTAAGCCATTCCTTGATGTTGGCGACGGTTTCTTCTTCTGGTGCAAACATGTCGTGAACCTCCTGAGGGGTCCAATGCTTGCCGAATTTCTCGGAATCGGGATCGGATCTAGGTGTTCGTTAGTTTCCTTGTACAAGTCATCAGTTGAGAGCACACTAACACCTCCATAAGGTAGTCATAACCCTTCTCCAAATTGGTTTGGGTCAAGCCAATTCGCATTGGAATCACAGCAGTCTTCTCGATGCGGGCTCCCTTGACCCAATCTCTCGGGGGCATGGACCTCTCCTCGTGGAGAACATGCTTGAGAGGGGCAGGAGCTGCATTGATGAGAGCCGCAATGGCAGTGACGACGGTGATCTTGACGAACATCATGGAGCTTGACCCTGTGATGCAGCTCTCCAGAAAACCGGGAGGGGAGCTTCTCTTTATCCCAAGGGTTAAACTTGGGTGCAACTGCAAGGCGGACCCAAAACTTGTCCATCATAGACTTGTATGCGCAAGGGAGCAACTTCTGGGTGGCGGGGCAGGAACGACCGGCATGCGCTCCGAAAACTGCAGGTGGCCATTGCAGAAAACAGGAAGTTGGCATGTGGAAAGAAGAGCTGAGGAGGCACAAGCTTAGCTGTACGAGGCAGGTCGTCGTTGCTATGGGTGGGAGTCTTATCTGCAATTTCATGAAGCTTATATTCTTCTCCGCAAATGATTGCGTCAAACGACAGAGCTTGCCCTGTTCGACCGCCGCAGCCCCTGTAGAATGAGGGGTTTCCTGGCGACCAGCTTCCTGAACAGGCTTGGTCGACAAGCGCGATCAGCACTTCTAATTTGGCCCCTCAGACAAGTCAGGAACAACGCATTTAACCCCACCAATAATATAATAATATCAGATATTACAGGTCACAGCATTAGGGCTGCACCTTCCCTTTGCGAGTGATACGATATCCCGCGTCACCTCCATTTGAGCTTCCCTTCCACATTTGACGAAAAGGCCACAATTCATCAGTTATTCTATATAGAGGCGTTCGCTGGAGTTTATCCTGAGTCGAGACCAGACCAATTTTTGTGCGACATGAGGTGTGGAACGCCAACCCCGACTCGTCCCTGTTCTTCGTCGTGCTACAGTTCGCCTCACAGGGCAACTGCGCCCCCAAGTCGTCAACGTCAAGATGGTTCAAGAATTATGTGCGTGAGACGTGGCAAAAACGTCGCTCCTGCCACTTGAACGCGAAGCAGTAGCTTTAAAGTTCTCGACGGAGGAAATGCCGAGTGGAAACCCTTCCCTCATTTTAGTAGCACACTGGAACCGATATTTGGAAATTTTCTTGCATAGAGCGAAATGGCTCTTGGGTTCGTCACGAGATTTCCGCAAGCTTGCGGGAACTGATGAGCTGAGGGTGTATTTTGTTCGAAGCTAAACACTTTCTTGTCAGTCTCTATTGCTGCAAAGGGAGGTTTTATCAGACAAAACGACTTCAGTCATTTTGTACTTTCAATTTTGATACACTAAATCTAGAGGAATTACAAGTATGGAAGAAAAGTTATTAATGACGTCCCGTTCTGGTCGCTAATAACAAGACCCAGAGCATTTGAAACTAATCGCGAGGTTTCCACCAATTTCGCCTATTTCCCTAAAAATAGGCGAGGTACACCCAAAAGCAAATTTCAGCGAAACACAAGTTATTTGTATAGGAATTGCCTGAATTGCTACTGCAAAGTGACCTCAACCCATTTCTCCACGACAGATTTGATCCAAAATGCCTACCCCTTCTGCAGGTATCGAGAAACGATTATAGCAAGCTATTAAAGCTATTTGCACGGGTCAAATTAATACCTTTCCGCAAGCTGCGAAGTACTATTATATCGACTAGGACCTTTTGATTGCCCGCTCCCACGGAAGACCTACGAACCATATAAAGGGGAGGCAAAATAAGAAGCTTACGGAGGAGGAGAACTAATCTTTGAGGCGATATTACGAGCGGTATATTATTGCAGGAGATCCCCTAGAGAGATACCATATTAAGGCAGTAGCTAATAGTATTTGTTATGTTATAGGAAAGAAGCCTATATTAAAGCCTTGGTTAATATAATGGATAAAACGAAATCCAGATCTCCTAAAGAAGAAGAAATCGAAATCCCTAGCTACTAAACGGAAAGTAACCTATGAAATTGAGGAGATTCGCGAATACTTTCGGAGGTTTAAGAAGGCAAGGGATAAGTACGAGATTAAGCCAGAGAACTACTAGAATTTCAATAAAACGGGATAGCGGATTAGGTCTTTAAAAGAATATATTATCTTTATATTTCCTAATATTACTACGGTTTATATATCTAATCCAGATATTGTAATACGGCAGGCCGTACTCGTTAAAAATCATATTGTTTTGGCGGTTTTGAGGTTTAGGTCACATAGTAAAGGCTGCGGCCTTTTGCACGTGACTTGCGGAAATCATATAAGAAAGCTGGTTTTTCTATAGACTTAGAGAATAATCTCTTATGAGTATTTAATTAATTAAGCTTTTATATACTATATACTATTTATGCTTTACTATTTATACTTTTAATTTATTATTTTACTATTAAGTCACGTTTTGCGTTCTAGTATACTTTATATGGGTTTTTGTCTTATTATAGTTTCCCTCTCATATATTTTATAGTAAGTAATACAGGAAGAATAGAAACTTTATAATTAAGGTAATACTCTTATAAAGTTCTAAGAAATGTCTATAAAGCGGATTATTAGCTTAGTAAGTTAGGGAAGAAAAGAGCTATTATAATGCCTTAAGCCTAAGGCTAAAATGTTAAGGATATATAAGTATTAATTTTAGTATCTTATATTAATTTCCGATATACCTAGTAACTTAAATATAGGTTAGTTATAAGATATAGTTACTAGTATAATATATAGGGGTAATAGAAATAGAGACTAATTATAAAAGAAAAAGAAATAGAAGAAATAGAATAAGAAATATTATATAAAGATAATTTAAGTTAGACCTTAGTTAGAAACAGACTTTAGTACTTGGAAATAAAGTTATATTATTAATTTATATATTATTTTTAGTTATAGTAAAGACCGGAATAGAGATAGTACTAGTTTTAGTAAAAAAGCTTATTCCTAAGTCCGGAAAAAATACCTAAAAGAAAGAGTATCTTTAAATTTAAGTAAAATAGTAAACTAGAATTAGAAATAAGAATTAAAAAGAAATTAGAAATAAGAAATTATATAAATAAACTAGAGAAGCTTCTAAAGAAATAAATAAATACTAAGTAAAGAAATAAAAGAAAAATTAAAAAAATTAAAAAAATTAAAAAAATTATATTTATTATTTTTATTATTACCTTTAATAGTATTAATAAATATATCTAGTTTAGCGAAATTAAGGAAAAGTACTATAGGTATTAAGCTAAAAGAATAGGAAAGAAAGTATAAGTAATAGAAATAAAACTAAAAAAGCTATTATCTTATTATTATTAATACTAAAACTCGAACCTTAACTATATTTATTATTATTAACTAGTTTCTCTCTTATTCTGGTTCTTAAATTAAAAGATATACTTAAATAAGAAATTAGCTCTTTAGGAACTTTATTAGTAGAAGTCTCAGATATAAAAACTTTATAATTAATTATAAAAGAAATTATTAAGATTAATATAACCGAGAATAAGTATATACTAGTACCAGGTTTAAACCTATTACTTATAGGAGCTTCTAGAATACTATAGTTTTAGGGAAGTAATATTTTTATATTCTTAAAATAATATATAAATATATATAAAAACTATTATATTCCTAATAATACTAAAAGAAAGAGAATTATTTATTATATCTCTCTTATTTATAAGAATTAGATTAAGGCTATACTAGAATACTATATTAATAATCCAGGAAATTATTAGAAAACCAAGTTCTTTAAGGCCTTACTAAAGAAATTCCGAGAATATAACTAGGAAATACTTAAAATTAGCTATAACTTTCTTAATTAAATTATTATATAAGCCCAGAATAAAGAAATCTCTTTTAAGTCTTATATTAATATATTTAATAAAATATTAAAGAAGTTATTAAAAAGAAAAGAAATAGATAAAATTACTTAGTACCGAGAATTTATAAAGAAATTATTTATTCTAGTAAAAGATTATATTCTTAAAAATACAAACTTTGAGCCTATAAATATTTCTATCTATAAATATAGTAAGATATATAAGAAGATAGTAATATTCTATTAGTATAAAAAGAAGAAATACCGTTTTAATATTACTACTAATCTATATTACGAAACCGGGCTCTGGGCTTGGAAAGCAGGTAAAGTAGCTCTTAATTCGAGGATTCTAAACTAAGAAAGAAAGCTCGTATATATAGGAGCTTTAGTATTCTAAATACTAGCTAGCCGCATGTATTATTATATAATTACATAATACTAAATTTACTAGTAAAGCGGTAAAGTATAATAATCTAGACATATTTAGACTTAGATAAAAATACTTAAATATAATAGTTTATAATATAATTCCTAAGCCAGAAAATAGTTATTCTTTACTAGTTCTTTTTATTATATTTCCTAAAGCTACTATAAATATAAGTAAGAAAAGAACCTAGCCTATAGCTAATTATATAAAACCTACTAAAAGTAGTAAACCCAAGGAAAATAATATTAACTAGCTAGTAAGAAGTCTAGAAAAACTATTTATTATTATTATAACTTAAGAGAACTTATAAAAATAATTTAATATAGCTACTATTATAATTCAAGAAAATATTTATAGCTTATTTATATAATCTAATTAACTATAGCTAGTATAATAGTATTAATAGCCTAGTAAATATAATTTAGGTCTTTAGGGAAAATATACTAGAAGTTATAGTAAAAAATATAAAGAATACTATAATAGCTATAGTAATTAAGCTAAATTAGATAAAGAATCTAAATAATTATATTCTAAAGGAAATTAGTCTTAAGTATAATTAGAAATTACTACTTAAGTTAATATAGCCTATAATATAAATCTAGAACTAAGAAAACAAATTTGCTATAATTATTATAGTAAAAACAAGAATAATAATATTAATTTAGAATATATTTATATTTCTTAGTTTTATTACTTACTAATAAAAGAACTTATAAATTATAAATATATTTACTAATTTAATAAAAGATAGTATAAAGAGCTATTTAAGTCTAGATAAGAAAGCATTTCCTTTTTTCTTACTAGTAAATACTAGTAATTTAACTAAATTATTTCCTAAGTCTAAAAAAAAGAATTTAATTATAACTTAAATACTTAACCTAAAAATATCTAGAAATTAATAGGAAATATCTAGTTTATTAGATAAGAAAGAAAAAAGAAAACTAGCTAACTAGAATTTATATATAAAA